GAAGAGCGTGAGCTCTGCAGTCAGGAAGAAGAGGTAAGGCTCGGCCCTGCAGCCTGCCCCCTGGGCACTGTGGGGCCTCGGAGGTTCGGCGTGAGCTCAGGGCAGGGCAGCAGACACCGCCAGGGCAGGGGGGTGAGGGCTTGTGAGGCCGAAGCAACCAACCCACAGAGAGAACTGCCAAACAGAGATGGGAGCGCCTGATCGCAAACCTCGGCAACTCACCTGTTGGCCTTCTCTAGCCCAGAGCTGAGCAAAAGCAGCCGGACCCAGAGGGAGGGACGGAGGGGGTTCTCCTTCAGTCAAGTCCTCCGGCCCCAGGGCCTGACCTGGGTAGCGTGTCTAGGCGGTCAGCTGCTAGCCCCGCTTTGGAAAGCTGGTGAGGGTAGGAGGCTAAAATCCCGCATTCACTTCTCTGCCCAGTGTCTCTGAGCACTTCCTTCCTTCCGGCCAGCCCAGGACGACCTGCTTCCTCTGTCTTCTGGAGCCACCAACGCACCCACGGACCTGATCCGAGCCGCCAGTCAAGACGCCGAAGGTCAAAGAGCTCAGACCCAGGGGGCCATGTAAGTGCTTCAAACTCTAATAGATGATTCCGTTTCAGACGGGGCAGCTCCTTCATCAGTGAGGCCCCTTCCTCGCAGCTGTGTGATGGAGGGGGGTCAGCCTTTCACCTACCCCCAAACCCTCACGGTCAACCTTACTTGTGACGAAGCGTCAGGGCAAGGACTGGAGGAGAAGAGAGGCCTGAGGCCGAGCCATGCCAGCAGTCTTTCCAGAGAGCAGACCCCACCCGCCACCCCGAGGCAGCCCCACCCCCTCCAGGCAATTTCCAGCCCTGGGTTGGATGGCAGGCTGAGCTCTCGGAGCCCCGGGGAGCAGGCAGGCCTTGTCAGGAGAAAGTTGCTGACCAGTCCCTCCACCTGGCTGTCAGGGCTAATCAACATCAGGGCAGCTAATGGGGAACATGGAGCCTACTTAAAAGCTACATTTGCCACTTGGCTGGTTCCATTACACAGTCAATATCCAGGTGTCACACCTCCTTGCCAAGTGTCGGTCTCCATGCTTCCTGGAGCTACTTGGGGTTAGGAAGTCACTGCGAGAGCCACCCAAGGAAGACTCCCCCGCCCGTCCTCGCGCACGCTGGGCTCCAGTGGCAAAAGATTCCCTGGCCGCGGAGCTCTGAGGAGGAAGGTTCTAGAGCCAGGCACAGCATGGAGACCACAGGTACCTGGCACCCGGCCTCTCTGAACATGCGGGAGGATTCCTCAATCCCCACAATGGCGGCGAAGGTGCCAACTCTACGCCTGCCGCACCGCGGCCTGCCCAACTGTGGATCCAAATGAGTGGGACGGCAGGCACATCCTCTGCCCACCCCAGAGTCTCTCCCCGGGCTCTCCTTGGCAGCAGAAGAAAGGCTAGGGGTTCTAAGATCTGGAACCTTCTCCTCTCCGCTGCCACAGCTCTGCTCTGAATGCTGCCCCGCCTATGGCTACACCCGGGATTCTCTATTCCTAAAGCCAGACACGGCTTGACTCACTCGCCCCCAACGCCTAGCTGAGGCCACGGAACCCTGCTACTGAAGGGCCAGCACTGGGACTGTGAGGGGCCACACTGAGGTGGCCAGAAGTGACTCTTTGCACTCATACAATACCTATTTTGAGTACCTGCCAGGCCCTGAGCTTGGCTCTAGAACGCAGACGGAGCAGAGCATGTTGGTTAGAGACAGACACAGGCAGAAAGCAACGATCGCAGACACGCCTGCTGACCCACCGAGGCAAGCGCAAGCAAGGACGAGCTGGGACACCCCAGGAGCGAAAGGCAGGGACTTGGACCTGCGCTGGGTGTCAGGGAAAGCCCCAGGAAGCCCCTGAGGGCCACGTCTACATCTATCGTGTCCTAGTGCTTCACAGCGGCCGGCACGCAGAAGGTCCAGTCGTGCTGTGGAGTGGCCGAGGAGCGCTTCCTGTCCCACCCCCTTCACATCTCTGTTACCCCTCACAGGTGTCAGTCTTGTAGCGGGGTCAGGCCTGGCTGCCCTGCCCTGCGCCCACATATGCGGCACGGGCACCTGTGGATGAGGAAAAAGCTGTTGTCTCGCGCTGTGCTCAGGCGCCACCTCCCTCCCACTCCGACACCCCCGGCTCTGCTGTCCACATGCCAGCCAGCTGACATTTCTCTGGAGGAGGCTGGGGACATGTCAGCGCAGCATGGCAGGGAGGCTCCTGCAGTGCCGGCCTCCCCAGGTCGCATGCTGGCATGTCTAGGTTTCCCACGCCGGCGGGTCCTCCAGGACTGACCACTTCCAGGAACAGAGCCGCTGTTTTCCACCCTTGCATAAAGCAGCTAGCTCGTGCCGGGAGGCGGGGGGCGGGGGGACATCTGCCCAGATGTTCTAGATACGTCCAGGGTGGCAGTAGCTTAGGTGGGGCTCTGTGGCCCAAGAGGACCGCCTGTCCTGTGAGGGCATCTAGAGCCCACGTGCCTGGTCATACCCGGTGGCATCTGCAGGTGCTGCTCACACCACCTGCTCCCCAGCTGGCCTCCATCTCACAGCTAGGTCACAGGGTGAGCAGAAGGCCTGGCTCCTGCCTTTGCAGATAGACAGGACTGCCAGCACTCCATGCACACGGGGCACGTGCCTGGGCAGCTGCACACACACTGCGCTCCAGGAGCAGGCCACACCCAGGCGGCTTGACTCACCGTGTGGCCTTTGAAGTGACCTCTCTTCTCTGCACCTCATTTCTCCTCCGTGAAAGATGGGGTGGGGCTACCTTGGTCCCTGTCCAGTGGCTCTCCATGGACCCTCGCGTTCCCCACCGGCAAAGGGCAGGCTGGTGGGCGGGGATTCGCGCTCTGGCCAAACCCACTGGAGCTGCAGTAGCCCCAGTTTTATCCACCTTGTGTCGAGAGCGGCTGCGGAATTTTTTACTTAAGGAAAAAGAAGTTCATTGCTGAAAGCAAGTTTGAGAACTGCTGGAGTGATCGTCCCTCAGGCCCCTTCCGGCTCTGACATCTCATGATTTATGAGTAAATAAAATAATGCATAGGAAAGGGGCCTGGGACTGGTAGAGATGCAATAGATGGCATTGGGGATCACTGCCGTGTTCTACCTGTGTCAGAGACCCCAGAAATGCTCCGCTGAATCTCACACGAGGTCCGCCTTCGGATCTCCAACCTGGGAAGCAGACTCGGAGGGCGGGGTGATTATGTAAGTGGCTCCGTGTAGAAAGAAAGGGAGGACATGAGGTCAGGGACAAGAGAGGAGCCCTGGGGGGCTCAGGCTACAGAAGAGGGGCATAGACCCCGGCCCCTGGCTGCTGACTCCACCATTCAGGCCTCGCACACCGTTGCCATGGAGACGAGAGAGCGTTGGCCTCAGGACACTGGTGTCTCCACTGGCCCAGCACTCGGTCTTGGTCTTCGTTTTAGTCAGTTTAAGAAGGCATGGAGGTGGGAAGCTTTGCGCAACCTCGCGCTGTCTCCCTGTCACCTCACTTCCCTCTGCTCACCTCCAGGACTTCCCTGGGCAGCAGAAGGCCAGGTCCGTTTTGCAGAGAGGTCCTGCCACAGCGCATGGGCTCCCCTGTGGCTCCAGGGTGCGCTGAGAAACGGGCAGACTGTCGGAGCAGGAGGCTGAAGGAGGTGGGGGGGGGTGGGTTGGGGGAGGAGGCGGGCTGTGTGTG